TAGCACTTGCAGGAACATGGGATATGGTTGTCTTTTTGGTTGGACTGTTTTGTGGGTAAATATATGGTTTGTGGTGGCTCAAAATTGTGAGAAATAATTTGATAATGTTTTGGCTGCTGTTGTTAATCTTTTCTAGGTGTTAATTAAGTTGATTGAAGAAGAAAAGATGAAAAACAAGTGATTGACGATAAAAATTAAGGTGCTAGACGTATGGGGCTGTTTTGGAAGGCATTTTGTGGATATTTTGAACTAGAAATAATATAGTACATATAAGTATGATGCTCTAAAGGATGTAAACTAATTATGGAGTAAGAGTTTGATTCAATTTATATCTTGTTATGAGTAAAAACGAGCTTGCCGCTCAATATGATTGTTAAGATAATCGGAGAAACTCATATTGGATTATATTGTTGTTATTGCTATTGTTGGTTATAGTTGTTGTTGTTGGGCTGTTGATGACCCTTAGTGGTCTTTGGGATGTATTAAAACAGGGGAAATGCTGCCCGATTTTCCTTAAGCCATATGACTAGCCACATACGATGGTACGCCATTATATGTTAACGGCAATATCATTTCACTTGTTGTAGATGAAGAAGTTGTGTTGAGCTTGGTTGAGTAATAAGGAAGAGATCATACAGGTATGCTAAGACTATTCCTTCTTCCCTTTTGGCATGATCCATATGACACAATGAAACGAGCAAGCACGCAAGTTTCACAAATGATTCTATTCTTAGAAGTACTAGGGTTGCCTATGTTCTTGATTCCCCATATTTCCTACTATCATATCGTCTGTTCATGGGTCTCATGACATTCCAAGAGATCTTATTGACTTACTTCATTATGCATTGCATTCATTTATACATGTATGTTGACCCATGACCAGATGACGTTGTATACGCGTATAGTATATGTATATAGGGTATGGGGAAAGGTTATGGCGTTATATACGCACCACCACCTGCAGTTGGTATATGTTGATGATTTTGCCCATAGAGGCCGAGATGATATGATGGGATGCCCTCAGAGGCTTGATGATTTTATATACGCATATACCTATGCTTGATATGACATTTACATGCACATGCATGGCATTATAAACATTTTATGATTCACAAAGCTGTTCAGACTTATAGGTTGAGTACTTTACTCCATATTTCTTTCATGTCTTTTATATACTACTTTTCATTCCTTACATACTCGGTACTTTATTTGTACTGACGTCCTTTTTGCCTTGGGATGTTGCATTTCATTTCCGCAGGTCCTAAAAGATAGGTTGACAGTCCTCCTAGTAGGCTATCAGCTCAACGAAAGGTGTTGGTGCACTCCACTTGCTCCGGAGTTGCCTATTTGGTCAGTATGATTTGGACATGTATTGATTGGTAATGCGGAGCCCTGTCCCGGCCTTGATGATGTTTATGTATCTTAGATGCTTGTAGACAGATGTCAGGTATATGGATACTTGTATGGCCTTGTCGGCCTATATTTTGAGTTTACAAATGATCATGTCGGCCTTATAGGCCCGTATGTAACATGTATAAGATTCTATATCATGTTGGGTTGTCCTATGTCTAGTATTTCCTTATGTTTTATACTGATTATATCATGATGACTCTTTTGGTCCATTTACCAATGATAGTACGATAAGAAAGATATGTTACGTTGGTACTCGGTTGAGTAAGGTACTGGGTGGCCGTCGTGGCCCATCAATTTGGGTCGTGATAGGTAGTGCACCTGGGGGTCTGATATATGATAGCAGCGTGCCCTAGAGCCTGAGCGGTAGGTGTCTGTGCTCCTCCTCCCACCTGAGAAATGGCTGGGTCTGTTGGAAATAAACCAGCCTGCATCATAGAGTCCATGAACGGCTACATACGGATCATGACATCCTGAAATCCTGGCGCGAACATGAAATGATCTATCGGGACTGGCTCAGCCGCAGGCACCTCACCTTGCTCCTCAATGACTGGATCCTCCACTGGATCCGCCGGTGGTACAACGGGAGCAACTCTAGGATACCCTTGTCCTCTAGCAAGAGTTGGAGCCCTCCCCCGGCCTCTGCCTCGGTCTCTAGCAACAGAGGGAGCAGCTCATCCACCACCGGATACATCTCTCGCCCGCGTTCTTATCATCTGTGAGAGAATAAGAGAAAGACAGAAATCCGATGTCACAAGTTCATGAGCATCTAATAGAATACACAAAACTCCCTAAAACTACTGTTTTAAGCAGAATAGACAGAAATAGTAAATATAACAAGAGGAGGCTCCGGGTGCTGCAGAACGGAGCATGAGAAGCAGCTCACCACCGGGCCTCCGAGTAGTACGGATGCGCGCCTGGACGAACACCAGTTGTACCTGCCTTAGAACCTACACAATTTGTGCAGAAGTGTAGCGTGAGTACGTAAACAACGTGCACCCAGTAAGTATATAGTCTAGCATCGAAGAAGTAGTGACGAAGGGTCGACATCGATACTTACTAGTGGTCAACATACGTAATGTGCAAGAATTACAAATAGGCATGAAATATAACAACAATAATGGATTAAGAGGCAATAATTAAATAATTCTTTGACAAAATAACCAATTAAAAGTCTCCAAATATCACATGCTAGTCTCAACAAGTAAGGGCCAACACGTAATTACAATTTCTCAAGTCATGAAGGATATATCGAGTATAATAGAACTCCTAGCAACAACACGCATGAGTTATGCCGAGGTCGTACGGCCCAATCCATAAGAATCGTGTGCATACACTACCGATGTCATACGGCCCGATCCATGGATGCATCACATTATATATAAATATTGCCAAGGCGTTCGGCCCGATGCACAGGAAAAGGGAAGCTCTTCGGACTACGAATTAAGTGTTTACAACTCCAAGGTAAGCCCATAAACGAATATAAATGTCCATCAATAATTAAACATTCCGCCAAACCACTAAGTAATGACGCTCGGTTTAGCATATTGTTTAATTAAGTTTTTAGTATTAATACAAGCAATTAAACTGGCGATTTGAGTTCAAATAGTGCAAGCAATTGTATAATAAAGTCCAATGTCTACCTGGACATAATGTAAATTTTAGCCACGTACGGACTCTCGTCACTTCGTGTGTACGTAGCACCCACAATTAGTAGTAAATAACAATTTTAACACCTATAGGGTTAATTCCCTCTTACAAAGTTAGGCAAGGGACTTACCTCGTTTCCAAGTCCACTTTTGGTCCACAAATCACACTAAAAGCCTTAAGTCGTTGCCGAGCAATCCAAAACTTGCCAAAAGTTGTACAAACTAATCAATAATTGCTCAAAAGTTCATAATTTAACTATTAGAGTAATTACCCAACCAAATTTGGAAGGTTCCTAAAATTCACCCCGGCCCACGTGCCCCGATTCCGTAAATTTTTGTAAATAACTGTTACTCTAACCTCACGAACACAAATATATAATTTCTACTCAATTCCATAATTATTTTCCTGGTCTAATCCTATTTTTATCGAAACCTAGATTTTTCAACAAACTCCTAAAATTTTCACATTGTACATATTAAAATCTACCCATAATTTATGTATTTAATTTACACTGTATAAAAATCAGTTAACTTCAATAGCTAGGTGAAAACCCTTCTCCAAGAAGCTCTAGAATCGGCCAAGAAATGAGAGAAATCAACAGAATAGGCCAAAGTCCCGTTTTTATTAAAGTCCACTGCCCAGCGATCCTTCTTCGTGATCGCGAAAAGGGCCTCGCGATCGTGAGGGCTAGCCCAGCCCATGCACCGCGAACGTGACTATTCGCGAAGGGCAACGACCCACTAACCCCTGTCCCTCTAACCCTTCTACGCGAACATGATGTAGCCATCGCGAACGCGAAGGCCACAGTTCGTGAAGTTCCGCGAAAGCGACCAGTTGATCGCGAACACATAGTGTATATTGCCTAGCACCCAATTCCTTCTACACGAACGCGACACCACCTCCGCGTTCACGAAGAAGGAAACTAGAACCAGCATATCAGCAGTTTTGGACTTAGCTCCAGGCTGTCTGAAACACACCCGAGCCACCCGGGACCCCGTCCAACTGATCCAACAAGTTCATAAACATAATACGGACCTGCTCGAACCCTCGTAACACGTAAAACAACATCGAAACTAAGAATCACACCCCAAAACCAAACTAAATCAACTAATAATTTCAAACTTCTCAACTAGCTCTGAACGCACCGAATCATACTTAGACTACTCGGACGACACCAAATTTTGTGTACAAGTCATAAATTCCTATACGGACCTATTCGCTGGCTCGAAATCCCAAACGGACCTTGATAACACCAAAGTCTATCCCAAACTACATTTAAAGAACTAGAAACCCTTCATTGATCCAACTTTCAACATTAAGCGCCGAAACACTCCCGGATCACCCGAAACCCGATCCGAACACATGTCCAAGTCCAAAATCATCATACGAACCTATTGGAACCATTAAGTTTACTAAAAGTGTTGACTCAAGTCAAATTTGGTTATCTTAGGCCACTATTAAGGAACTAAGTGTTCCGATTTCAACCCGAACCCTTCCAAACTCAAACCAACCATCCCCGCAAGCCATAAAACAGTAAAAGCATACATCGGAAGTCTTAATTAGAGAAACGGTGATATAAAAAGCAAAACGACTGGTTGATCGTTACAAGTACAGTTTCAAATTTACAATGCTAAATATATTTATTTTGTACAGGCTATAGTTGTAAAGAACTTCCATTTTAGAACTCAATCAATCATATCTACGGGAATATTAGTGTTATTATTTACATGCGACATAGGCTAATGCTTGCTTATGTATTTGTCTTTTATTTCTTATAGAGAAGTTATCTTGGAAAATCTACTTTCCTAAAAAAAATTGTTATGTGAGACATTTTAACTCTCACAGTGAGTTGACTCGATATTTAGCATAATGATATCTCCTAATTGGATGAAATAGAATTAGTGTCAGAAGAAATGGCAAACCAAAACAGTATGTCCGAAATATAGTATTTTATTGCAAACCACACGCCAATAACATGACACAAGAGAATCAAAGAAGAAAAATTAAGGAAATACAGAAATGATAATACCAAAAGCAATCTTCTTAATTCATTACTCCCTTAATCCTTTGCGTTGTTCTTGCACTCATTTGTTGAAACAGGGATCCATGTCAAGCCCAAGGATTGGAATTTCTCCTGAGTTATGTGGTCAACTGATTTTGCCATATCCTCAGTCAAAAGATTCTTCCAATCTCCTATTTCTCCTTTTCGAAAAAACGCGCTGTTCTTGACTCTCAAAGTATTTGGGTGAATACAGCCGCTCTTGTTCACTTCTAAATTGCTCAAACTTTCAAAATGACAGCGTGCAACTATTTTTTCAGCTACCCCTTGATTCTCTTCCTCTGTAGAGAATGGTTTACCCATGAATTCTGCCAATTTCTTTACATAGCACAACGTGTTGCTCTTCAAGTCTTCGTACGTTAAGAAGAACACTCTCTCTGGTCTATCTACACTACTTCCTTTCCAGTAATCCAAAACATGGTTCCAATACGGTCCACATGACGATTTGCCTTCACAAAACCACTTGAATTCCTGTTCGAATGGAACAGCCTCTGCTTTGAATGCATCGGCGCTTTCTTTAACCTTTTGCATGTAATGCCACCAAGAAACAAAAGTGTCTTTTGGTTCCCTACATATGTAAATGATTTTGCAATCAGATTCTAATATAGATGGTGCTAAGCAAGAGTAGGGCAGATGTGTGGCCAACAACGGGAACTCTGCTTCTACTAAAGTAGGATTTGTGAAACTGTCAACTTCAACAGTCCGTACGCACTCGTGGGGTTGCTTGGTTAGTAAAGGATTTGTGGAATCATCATCAGAAAAACGATCTCTGATCATAATGGAAAAGGTCAAGGCTTTAAGCCAAGTGGTACCTGTTTTTGGATAGCTGCAGAGGAAAATATCAGAGGGTTGAGCCTTGAAATTTTCTTGCATAAATAAAGTTTGTCTTAAGTAGCGAAAAGGGAACCAGAAGCCTTTATATCGATAGTGATCACGACAAGGATAGAGGGTTTCTCGTTTTGTAAGGGTTGATATTGATAAACAGACTTACACTTATTTAATAGCGATCAAGAAACAGATTGGCAAGGGCTCATGTGAACCTCCCATAATTGAACATGTAGTAGACATTAGCATATAGAAACTGTCTTTATCACGTAAAAAGATATGAAAGTACTACATTTAGCTTTAATTAAAATCAATTATACAGTAGTTGCTTAATTTATCATATTTAATAAATGGCAGAATAGCCCAATAAACACTTATACTTGTACCGTTTTGACATCTCGGTCCTTGAACTTTACGAGTTTTCATCTAGCCACTTTCACTTGATCAAAACTAATTCTTTAAACCCCTCTAACCGTTGACCGAGCTTGCGTAGCTTTGATATGGCTAAGATGGACAAATTACGTGTAATTCACGCTTGCAAAGAGAGTGATACTACTAATTTTGATTTTTATACAAGGATTAAAATAAAAAAACAAATGAAAAGAAATAAAGTTAAAAAATTAACCAAAAATAAAATTTGAAAACCCAATCTCCTCCACCTCCCCCATTTTCTGCGCTTCCTCAATTTCTCCCCCCTCCATGTCGTTCCAAACCCCTTGTCCTCCTCCCTCTTTTTTCCTCAAACACCACCAAAAACGGTGGCTAAGGCTTCAAACTTCCAAAATCAGATAGAAATATATTAACTCTATTTTTAATAAAATAACCTTTTATTTCTTCTTTCATTTTCTATATAACTAAAACTCAATTGATTTCTCCACTTAACTTCTAGAAGTACCTTTGTTTTCTTCTTCCTTTTACTATTAACTCAAACCAATTGATTAGCTTTTTACTAAAAACAATGACAGAGGCAACGAAATTTCAATTAATCAGTTCTTCAGGTGATTTCGAGATGTTGGAGGTCCGATTTGGGATTTTCCTTTTTTTTTTCAAGGGATGAAGATGAGATGGGAGATTTTATGGTGATTCCGAGTGGTGGTTTTAGAGGAAGGTGGTGGCTGCCGGTTATTGGATTCTAGTGAAGAGATAATTTGTAGCGGTGTTTATTTTGTTTGGTGTGGTTACCGTGTTAACATTGGGGAGAAGTTGGGTGAGGGTGTTCTTACGGATTAACAAGGGTTAAGCCTGGTGAGATACGGAAGGGTGATCTTCAGTAGGGGTCATGGAGCGGTTCACGGTAGAGAGATAATGAATGAGGTGTATTATGGAATGGTTCTTCTTGGTGAAGGAGTCGTTTGGAATTTTTCTTCTTTTCTGTGCAAGAAAATACTTGCTGAGAAAATAAATGATATGGCATAGTCTTTTTCTGAGGTGGATGCTAATGTGTTATCCACTCAGTGCGATTGAGGGAAACACTCAGTTAGAGGTGTTTAAAGGACCGACTTTGATCAAGTGCAGGTGTCTAGATGAAAACTCGTAAAGTATGAGGACCGAGATGTCAAAAAGGCACAAGTATGAGTATTTATTAGGCTATTCTACAAGTACTTTCCTGAAAAAATTGATGTGAGATATTTAACTCTTATAGAGAGTTGACTTAATATTTAGTATAATGATATCTTATAATTTGATGAATAATAATTCGTGTCATATGAAAATTTGGATAACCAAGTCAGTATGTCTGAAATAATGTGTCACGGCCCAATTCTCCTTCCGTAAGATGTCGTGACCGCACCTAGTCTCTACGACTAGGTAAGCCTAACATTTGCGGAATAACGAAAATGAAAGCAAAAATTTAACAACTAATTGCAACATATAATTAAATAACTGATAAAAATACCACTCGACATGTACAATAACCAACACTTTGGTATACTCCGTACTCCCAAAATTCGAAAAAAATCATAAGTCACAAGCTACAGAAGAAATCTAGTATCTCTATACACCAGAGTCTAAGAAAAAGGTACGGAAAGGTAAATGACATAGGAGGGAATAGAGGCGGACTCCGAGGTCTTGGGACGCGGCAGATATACCATGAAGTCTTCAAAGTCTCACTGCTCAGTGATGACGGGGCTGATATGAAGTACCTGGATCTGCACACATAACATATGCAGAAGAGTAGCATGAGTAGACCACAACGGTACCTAGTAAGTGTCAAGCCTAACCTCAGTCGAATAGTGACGAGGTCTGGTCAGGGACCTACTGGTATATAATAAATAAGGCAGAAGAATATAGCATTGTAATAAGAGACTGGAAATTTAACAAAGAGAAAACCACATAATAATAGCAACACAGCACACAGGGATAAACAACAGTAGGGGATCTCCCGAGATACCGTCTCGTAGTCCCAAAAGTAAATATGCAAGGAGATCTCCCGAGGTAAGGCCTCGTAGTCTCAAAAGTAAATGGCAGGAAGACCTCCCAAGGTACAGCCTCGTAGTCTCAAAAGTTAATGTGCAGGGGGATCTCCTGAGGTACCACCTAGTAGTACCAAAAGTAAACACACAGCTCGAAACCGGCGAATATAACAGTTAACAGCAAGAAATCTACAATTAAGACTGATATAGATAAGGGAAAAACAGGAAAATCTACTAAGCATGATGAACAAAGTTCAAATAAGCAGTTAAGACACGTAGACATGCGAAATTAGGCTAAACAGGATAACTACACATGCTAGTATAACTCAATTAAGATGAAACAGGTTATTACTCAGTAAAAATCAAATTTTTACAACAAATAACGCGTGCACGCACTTGTCACCTCGCGTACACAGCGCTCACATATCACAGAAGTATCACAATAGTACCAAATCCTAAGGGGACTTCCCCCACACAAGGTTAGGCAAGCCACTTACCTCGAACCGGGCTCAATCAATTAGTAAGAATGCCTTTTCCACGATTCTCCGACTCCGAATGGCCAAGATCTAGCCAAAAGTAATTACATACCATAAAGATAACTATAAGAAACTAATCTAATTAAGGAAATCAAGACTTTAGCAAGAATTTAAAAAGTCGCCCCAAAAAGTTCACCCGGACCCACGTCTAGGAATCGGGTAAAAGTCACAAAATATGAACACCAATTCACCCACGAGTTCACTCGTACCAAAATTATCCAAATCAGATATCAAAATCCGAATCAAAACTCAAAAATTTAGTTGAAGAACTTTCCAACTTTTTCTCCAAATTTCCCAACCCAATTCCTTAATTAAATGATGAAATCAACTATAGATTAATGGAATATAACCATAAATGAGATAACTTTTGTCGCACCTGCGGTCAGTGGTTACCCAAACCAGGGTTGCATCTGCGAGCTCCCTTCAGCACGTGCGTGTCCACACTGCGTTCACCCCCAGGTGCGATTACACCAGAAGCTTGAAAGCTTCAAAAATTCACAGAAGTCCACTTTTGATCCGTTAAGAATCCGAAACTCACCTGAGGCCCCCAGTACCTCAACCATACATACCAACAAGTCCTAATACATCATACAAACTTAGTCGAGACCTTAAATCACATCAAACAATTCCAAAAACACGAATCACCCTCCAATTCAACTTAATGAACTTTGAAACTTCAAACTTCTACAACCGATACCAAAACCTATCAGATCACGTCCGATTGACCTCAAATTTTGCACACAAGTCATAATTGACAATACGGACCTACTCCAACTTCCGAAATTGGAATCCAACCCCAATATCAAAAAGTCCACTTTTGGTCAACTTCCTAAAAATTCAACTTTCGCCATTTCAAGCCTAATTCAGCTACATACCTCCAAAACAAAATCCGGACGCATTCCTAAGTGCAAAATCACCCTACGGAGCTAATGGAACCGACAATACTCCATTACGGAGTCGTCTTCACACAGTTCCAACTACTGTCAAAATCCCAGAACTTAAACTTCCGTTTTAGGGGCTAAGTATCCCAAATCACTCCGAAACGACAAACAAAACCTCCCAGCAAGTCACATAAGCAGAAAAAGATACGGGGAAAGTAGTAAATAGGGGATCAGGGTCGTTACTCTCAAAACGACCGGCCGGATTGTTATATATTATACTTTATTACAAATTATAGTAACATCCACACATCAATGGGATCACACAAGAGAATCAAAGAAGAAAAATTAAGGAAATGCAGAAATGAAAAAACCAAAAGCAATCTTCTAAAATTCATTACTCCCTTAATCCTTTATGATGTTCTCGCACTCATGTGTTGAAACAGGGAATGTCAAGCCCAAAGATTCAAATTCATTACTCCCTTAATCCTTTATGTTGTTCTCCCTTAATTATTATTTTCAGTTATTTCCGCATGTTTATTAGGCTTACCTAGTCTTGGAGACTAGGTGCCTGTCACGATCCGGAATTCCCACCTCGGGACCGTGATGGCGCCTAACATTTCACTTGTTAGGCAAGCCAACGTTAGAGGATCTTTAAGCCAATTTTAATCATTTTCAATAAGTAAAATCAATTAAGTCGAAATGAAACTGAAATTGAACGTGGAATGACATAAAAACCAATAATATCTATGTACAACCTAGATCTGGAGTCACAATTCACGAGCTTCTAGAGTTTCTACATACAGGGTTTGAAATAAGTACAACTGTCTCGCATGATAAGAACAGTAAATAAGGGCAAAGTGGAAGGGGACTTCAAGGTCTGCGGATGCTAGCAGATCTACCTCGAGACTCCAAAAGCAAATCCGAGCTAAAACGCCTCACGGACAGCTGGGACTAGTACCAAAATTTGCACAAAAAGTGCAGAGTGTAGTATGAGTACAACTGACCCAATGTACTCCGTATGTGTCGACCCTAACCTCGACAACGTAGTGACGAAGCTATGACAAGACACCCACGTAAATGAACCTGTGCAGATAAAAATATACGTACAAGATAACAACAAATAAAGGCTAATCATGTACTATTGGGAGGGGACATGCGAAAGGGGTACAAGATACGATAAGTACTGCTTGGGAATGATAACAAGAAACAGTCAATAAGCCCTTAAACAGCAAAATGAATAAACATAATGAACAAAACTGCACGACATCACCCTTCGTGCTTTTACTCTCAACCTCACTATGAAACAATAATAACGGCACGA